AGAATTACTATAGGAAGATATTTGTACATCCAAAAAAAAAAAAAAAATCACCTTCCTAACCAATCTTTGGGACACCTGCTGTAGGGGTAACATCTCATAACTGTGACCAGAAGCCAAAAATATGCTAGCAGCAACATTTGTCAGTCTTTGCTTAGTGGCACAGGCTGCAGTTGGCAGATGCTTGTTAGTGAATTTTATCTTGGTACTGTGTTTATATGGGGGGTGATTTTAAGAAAAGACCAGTTTTCAGTCCCATTTCCTCCCAGGGACACTGCATATCTCTTACCTTTCCTCATTCTGGGGTTTTGCGGTTAAGAAAGTAAAATGAAACAGTTTGATGAAATGTTAATCTCAGAATAAAAGTTACAAGACTTTAAGAATTCTTTAATAGTTGACTTCGTGGGGCACCTAGGTGATTCCGTTGGTTAAGTGTCTGACTTGGGCTTAGGTCATGATCTTATTAGGGTCGTGGGATCGAGCCCAGTGTCAGTCTCCCCATTCAGCAGAGATCCTGCTTGTCTCTCTCCCCCTGCCTCTTCTCCTGCTTGTTCTCTCTCTCTCTTTTTAACTCAAATGAATAAATGAAGTCTTAAAAAAAAAAGGGAATCGACTTGAGACTTGAGAGTGTGGGTCAGTTGTAGTCCTCTAGGGGTGCCTGGGTGGCTCAGTCAGTGAGGCATGTGACTCTCAATGTAGGGGTTGTGAATTCAAACCCCCTGTTGGGTATAGAAATTACTTAAAAATAAAATCTTTAAAAAAAAAAAAAAAGGTGGTCCTCTAGGCAGTTTGATATTCTTCATGTTGCCTGTGGGAAAATCCCAGCAGACCTCATTGCATCAGATCAACCCTTGAGATTAGTGAAGAAAAGGGGCTGCCTCAGCTTTGCGCCAGTAGTGAGAGATCATTGATAGTATCAAAAGAATAAATGTTGATTTCAAGCCATTAAATCTATTGGAAGGAAAACTCAGGGAAAAGGCACTTTCTCTGAACAGTTTGGTTCATAGGAACAAAGACAAAAATATAAACCAAAGGAAAAAGAACTTAAAGAAAAAAATTTTATATGGTCAGTTTTGTTTCTAGAATCCCAAGCTTTCTGTATCATGAGATATTTTCATCTATTCAGCAAATGTTTGTTGAATACCAGTTATATGCCTGGCTAGATACTCAGAATTGAGCAGTAAATAGGATGGACATGGTTACTGTCCCGATAAACATGAGGATCAATAGGGGGAAGACAGACACTAACAATCCATTATTACTTAAATGATTAGTGCTACAAAGAAGAAATTCAAGGATCCACAGGAAGGTTCAACAGAGACCTGATCCAGTGCATGTGGTGAGGGGAGAGGGGAGGGTTTTCTGGTCAGGTAAAAGGGAGGAGGAGGTCAGGAGAGAGCCTCCTAGAAAGGGGGAACAACATGGTTATGCACCTGTGAAGTAAGAAGAACAAGATTCCCTCAAAGAACTGAAAGAAATCCAATAAGAAAATAACAAAAGAGGCATTTTTCTTGTCTTTTCTCTGAAGACTTGAAGTGTTATTAAGCTAGGCTTGCTAATAGTACACAGTGGGGAAGACAGCTTTAGACCCTTGTCTCTGGACATCTTTGGGACTTGGGTTTTCTGGGTCACCTGATGTTGGAGAAGGAGACTTATCTCCCTTTCAGGATTAGTTTTCAGAACACTTAAAACATTAATTAAAGTGTTTGAAAATAGCCCTATTAAGTACCAATTGTTAGTACTACTCATTACCTTGAGTACTCTAATTGCAGGGCTTGTATGTCTGATTATGGTGTATGATCAGTTACAGTTTGAAGCTGTGGTTCTTTGGAGTCGTGGAAGGAAACCAATGAAAGTCAGGCTTTGGAGACAATTGCTGCTATTTTAATATGCCCGACCTCCTTCACTTTCCTCAAGTGTCATGCAGTCAGGGAAGTTTCCTCTGTTAATGACAGGGAAGTGAAGCAATCATTAATAGAAATTACAGAATCCCTGCTCCTCACAGGAACTGACTCACGTATTTTCATATGAAACCATGGAGTTTTAGGGAGAACCAGAAACTCAGAAACCTGTTTCCTTACCAGGAAAAGTCATCATCTCATCATCTCCTGGATTTTTATTACGACTAGCCACAACGCATGATGTTCTCTCTTGGTTTTTACAAATTTCTTCTAAGCATTTTTTTGGGAGACATCATGGACATCAGAATCGGTATTGATTGTAATTTTCACTTTTAACTTTTGAATTGGGTGAAGTAGTGCTTTCAAGCTTTTCAGCAAATGATTAAGCCATGATTCATTCTGCGTTGCTCAAGAAAGATCACGAGGGTCAGGAAGGGCAATCATATAGTAATTCTTGTAAGGTAAATTCCTTGCAGGTACTTAGAATTTCTGTCTAGATAAATATACCTCTTTCCAGCTTCCATCTGCATTATTCAGCTGCCTAAGTTCTCATAAGCTCAGGACCATCCTAAAGCATACAATCTCCACATGATACCCCTCCCCCTTGGGTTGGAAATGGGTCCTGTTACCAAGGGCTTACTTCCTGATTCCGATGAGCCTGTTTGAGGAAAGCCCAGTACTCATAATGAGGTGTTCCAGTGCCTGGCCCTTTTACTCACTTACCAAATCTGTCCTTGTCTTCCCAGCCTACCCATTTGTTAAAGGCAGTACAGTATTCATTCTCTAAAATCTGACTAATCAGCGTCTTCTAATAATGGGAATTTTTTTTTCTGTCTTCTTCTAGATGTAGACGTAAATTATAAAACATAGGCTGAAGTTTTTGCATGAGTAAAAAGGAGGAGAAAAGACAAGTATACTGGGATATCTTCATAACAGTGGACTGAATTACAGTGTTGAGAATATATGAATTAGAGCTACATGTAACAACCTAGATGAACATGGGCAAAAAAAAGCAAGTTGCCGAAGAACATAATACCTTAGAGAGAGAGTTGACCCTTGAACAACATGGGTTTGAACTACACAGGTCTACCTGTGTATAAACAGGTTTATCTGTTTATAAACAGATTTCTTTTGATAAATACAGAACAGCACTGTAAATGTATTTTTTCTTTCTCATGATTTTCTTTTTCTTTTTTTTTTTTAAGATTTTATTTACTTATTTATTTAACAGAGAGAGACACAGTGAGAGGGAACACAAGCAGAGAGACAGAGAGGAGAAGCAGGCTTCCCGCCTAGCGGAGAGCCCGATGCAGGGGTCATGATACAGAAACCTGAGCCAAAGGCAGACACTAAATGACTGAGCCACCCAGGTGCCCCTCTTCCTCATGATTTTCTTAATAACATTTTCATTTCTCTCTGTTACTACATTATAAGAATATAGCATATAATTCATATACATACATATGTGCTCATTGACTGCTTAGGTATTCCTAAGGTTTCATATCAACAGTAGGCGATCAGTAAAGCTTTTGGGGAGTCACAAGTCAAATCACAGATTTTTGATTGTGTGGAGGTCAGTGCTCCTAAGTCCCATCTTGTTCAAGGGTCAATGGTATAAGAGTTGTAAACTTGCTAAGCAATACTGTATAATGTTAAATGTAAAGCTATGTGTGAGAAGATAAAAAGTTCAGGATACTGGTTCATTCTAGGAGAGGGGAAGGGAAATTTGACTAGAAGGGGTATATACAAGTATATATGTAATGTATTCTTTAAGATCCACTGTGAATATATGGCTGTTAGTTGTTCTCTATATCTTTTTGCATACCTGAAATATTTCATAATAAAAATAAAGCTGACAAATTTAATTTTTTTTTCAGGAATTATTCTTTAAAAATGCAATTAGCGTTGGGGGATATACTTAGTTTGGAACTCACTTAGCCAAGTCTTCTGAAGTTAAAACTAATGTTTCAGAGTAAAAACCCAAAGAGGCCACAAGCTCTTCAGTCACCAGAAAGATTTTCAGTTGTACTTACTATATGGTTCTTATGTGAATGAGGAAGCAGACCAGCAATTTTGAGAGAGATTTGCAATAAGGTTACGATGAACTAAAAGAGAGATTACAACCTGGCAGCCTCTGGTTGCCTGTAGACCCATTTTGTTTGGCCTTCATTGTACAAAAACTTTCAAAAAAGAATGAAATAATGTCTTTTTTTTGAGATTTCATATTCTAAAAATCTGAATTGCTACCTATTGTTAAAGTATCAGGAAATCTGGTATCCCTAGGCCCTCATTTCTTTTCTTTTTTTTTTAAAGATTTTATTTATTATTTTAGAGGGTGGGGGGAGAGGGAGAGGGAGAGAGAGAATCCCAAGCAAACTCCGCACTGAGTGCAGAGCCTGACGCAGGGCTCGAACCCACAACCCTTAGATCATGACCCAAGCAGAATCAAGATTCAGATGCCCAACCAACTGAGCCAATTAACATCCTCTCCATTTGGCCACTGTCCCCACCCAACCAGATTCCCTCATTAGGTCCTAGAGGTGCTGGAGTTTTCAACCCCTGCATGCAAGTCAAGTTACTTAACTAGAAAATTTAATTTTTTGAAATGTGCCTTTTCCAGGTCCTCTGGTGAGGCTGTAGTTTTACAAAAATACACACAAAAAGCATCAGACCTAATATAGTCTGGTAAAGAATTTACTGCTTTAAGGTATAGCACATTTGAATTTTGGTTTACCATGTTTGTACGAATGGCAGTCATGGCATTTGTATATGCCACGTATTTCATGTATACACAAGGGATGATATACCAGGACAGCTGAGAGATCGCTGGTGTTCCTACAGCACCGTTCTGGCAATGCTACCAAGCAGATCTGTTGAGAAAGAGCAATTATTTCTAGACTAATTAAAGGGCTTGATTAAAAAAAGGTACATCTGCCTAGCTGCCTACTGTCAAATTGAATTTTCATGCAAATTTACCCTCTTCTATTTTGGTGGGTCTGAGGATGACAACAGCAACACGACAAGAAGTTCTTGGCCTCTACCGCAGAATTTTCAGGCTTGCGAGGAAATGGCAGGCGGCATCAGGGCAGATGGAAGACACCATTAAAGAAAAACAGTACATATTAAATGAAGCCAGAACCCTGTTCCAGAAAAACAAAAATGTAAGTAGGCCCCAACTGGAGATTGTAAGGAGGAGGGCAGTTTCTTGGGATGTTTTTTCTTTTTCATCTGAAAACTGAGGGACTGAGCTGTACAGGTCACAGTGGCAGTGTATGGGGCTGGAAGGGCGCAGAGGCACAGCCCAGCTACCTTGCTCAATGACTGGGAAGCAGAGCCCAGCCTGGATTTCTCTCTCCATTTGTTTCAGGTCTCAGTCCAGCCCGTAAGTGGCTCAGCGTCCTCAGAAGACCCCATGAGCCAGGTGACACAAGCCAGGCCAGTGAGGGTGTTCGGGGGAGGAGCGGTTCCTTGCCCACTGTGCCTCTTACCACCCCCTCCCACAGGAGGTGTGCAGTTAAACTTTTTTTGTTTCCAGTTCATAAACTATTCAAGGCCTCCAAATATAAATCCATTCAGAGGGAAGAGAATAGGATTAAGACACAGGGTTCCCTTCATAACTTCACTTTGAACTCGAGCCTCTTTGGCTAGCAGACTGAGTTTGCCCTTTGGGACCACAGAATTGGGTAAGATAGTGCCTCCATTAGCTACTTTAATGGAACTGCCCACCCAGACACCAGGGAGCCAAAGACCATCTGTAAGAGGCTTGATTTGAGCCATCCCAACCAACTATAAAGCATTAGCTGTTAGTGCCTTATGAAGACTGCCTGGCACTGAGCATGGAAAGAGACTTTCAGCTTCTGACTTTTCCTGCCTCCTTCTTATTGATCTCCCAGTCAATGCTGTCACTGTTCCCCTCATGAAATCTCCTGACAATCTATTCTCTTTTCCCTCTCTGACCCCCATTTCTCTATCCTTTTTGGCCCTGTCTTCTCCACACACCCTCCGGCTGGCTGTAAGGATCTCCTGAAGGTCAGCCGTCCGCGCTGAGGCCCAGGGATCATGCAGCCACTTTCTGGTTCCAGTTCCCATATCCGAATACCCAGCCTCAGCCTCTCACCAGCCACCTGAAGGAGCTCACGACAGGCATGATGACCCAAAGCAGAACTCCTCCTTCCGCAAGGACACCTCCCTCTTCCAGTTTGCCTATTTCTGCTCTAGCTCCTGTGGCCACTCTGCAACTGTTTGCTCTCATTCTTTCAGTCAGCAAGTGTTGGAGTGCCCATCCTGTGCCAAACACTGGACTAGACATGGAGGATATAAAATGAGCGAAACCAAGACAGGATCCCTCAAAGATGTTTCAGAGTTAGATGGCAAGCAGTGTAAAATTGCAATTGGGGTAAGCACTACAAAAGAAACCCTCCCACCCTACAGTACCTTCTCCTTCTCAGAAGCCCTGAGGCCTCCCTGCTTCATAAAACCAACCTGCTTATAAAGCTTATCTCTGCCTTTCTGACCTCCAGCTTCTCCGACTTTTTGTGCCACACACCAGAGTGTATTGAAAATGTCTGTTCTGTTTTTTTATGAGCTTATGGGTACACTTAATGAATTTATTAGTATATTTATAAGTCAATATAAGGACATTAGTGGGAGCCATGAGCTCAGAAACTTTTTATTGAAAGGAGTAGATAATCAAAAAGTTGGGAGACCACTAATCTGTGCCTACGCCTGAGGAGCTGGTCATCCTCTTTTCTTGTTTCATTTCTGTTGCTGTGGTCTCCTCAACCAGATTGTCGGTTCCTCGAACACACAGTGTCTTATACTTTCTTATATATCCTGTGGGACCTGCCTTGTGGTTGTCACTAAATTCATGAGCATTTACAAATACTTTGGCTTGACTTACCTTCTCCAGGGAAGTCTTCCTCAACTTCTCTACCTTCACTCAGCCCCCAGCAGAAGTCTGTTCTGAGGGGCGCCTGGGTGGCTCAGTGGGTTAAAGCCTCTGCCTTCGGCTCAGGTCATGATCCCAGGGTCCTGGGATTGAGCCCCACATCAAGCTCTCTGCTCAGCAGGGAGCCTGCTTCCTCCTCTCTCTGCCTGCCTCTCTGCCTACTTGTGATATCTCTCTCTGTCAAATAAATAAAATCTTAAAAAAAAAAAAAGAAATCTGTTCTGAATTCCTATGTAGCCGTGTACAGTAGTCACCCTGTTGACTACATGCCTCTGTGCCTTTTCTGGAGCTTCATGCTTCAGAGTTGTTCTGCCCAGGTAGTAACCTTGATAGTTGAAGGCAGGGACCATGGCCTCCGTGTCTAGCTCAGTGCTGGAGATACCATAGCAGGATGGGCCCAGTAAACCTTTTCAGGCTGACTCATGTGAGGACTGCTCAAGACCCTTGCGTTTTCAGTTACGGCAGTAATCAGTCCTTCCTTTGCCTCTGCTTGAACTGGCCCGGTGTGGTGTGAGCCCGACGGAAGTGTATGTGCCAGTGATGCTACATGAGTGAGATTATTTTGTATACCTGGGAAGGAGATATATGGGTTTTTAATTTTAAGATATGTACTTGTTTTGCCGTGTATTAGAAAGAAAATAGAATATCAGGTAATTTTACAGATACTATGCGTAGGAGGCAGTACCTTTATTTATTTATTTATTTATTTTTGAGACAGTGCATTTAAAGAAAAAGTTTAATATTAGTATAAATGGTGTGTGGATATAGCAGAATCATGAAGGCAGACTCTGAACGACTGAATCTGGACAACCCTAACCCCGACTTGTTCAGAAGGACAGCTGGAGTCCCAGGATCTCTCAGCCCCCATAACCATACATATCTTTATCAGGAGCTTCTTTCTCCCCAGTCCCTGATGCAGACATAAGTAGTTTCTGGGAACTTCACTTGCTGTAACAGTTTAATAATAATCCAGAGGTATCTCGTGAATTGCTCTGAATCCTAATGGGCAGAGAGGAACATGGAAATCTGTTTCCAATGTGGACATTAGAGCAACAGATTCTGAGAAGCACAGAAGTCAGAGAGCTGAGCCTCTGCCCCCAGGGACCCAGCTGTAGTTCTGTGCATTGCAGTTCCCAGAACTCTTCTCTGCTCCAGAAGTTACCATAAGACAGGCACGCCTTGGAATTTCCAAGCCTTGCTGGTACAGTCGTCACTGGGTGTCATCTGGGACTGGTGCAATCCCAGCTCTGCTTTGAGGCCCACTTGCATACTCTTGGCAGAGCCACGTGTCAGGCCATTTTCCATCCTTGGAATGAAAGAGTTTCTGCCCTTCTACCTGGCATTCTCTTTTTCAGAATGAACTTATAATTCCTTTACTTGAAACTGGACTACCACGAATTGACTATTTGGGAATTTAAAAAGCCCTTTCTTCCCCTTACCAGTGAGCAAGGCAGTTTACAGTTCAAAAGAAGACGTGGATCTTTCTCTGATATCTTACTTTTGGGGTTTCTAGACAGCACTTGCTGCCACAATTGGATTAATGTTTGATCAACATGGGGAGGATGTGAAGAATCCTCATTCAGTGTGGGTGGGAATATAAACTGGTACAACTTCTTAGAGGGTCTACTTTGAATCTAGAGGGAATATCTGTAAGAATTTAAAATGCATGAACAAATACCCTTTGACCCAGCATTCTCGAGGAATTTATCTTTTAGATATATTTGCATGGAAGCCAAAAACAATTTTAGAGGGATCCATAACAGAATTGTTTATAATGGCAAAAGACTGGAAATAACCTAAATGTCCATCAGGAAAAGATTGATTAAATTATAACAACAGCCTTATGTTGGAATTTTTGTGCAGCTATTAAAAAGAAAGGGCAGCTGTGTACATCAGAAGGAGCTTCACGTTGTTAGGAGAAAAAGCAAGGTTTAAAACAAAGTGAGCTATCATTTGTGTAAGGGGAAGAAACTAAATAGGTACATACATGCTTTTATCTACGTAGAATATCCCTGGAAGGACAAACAAAAAACTGCCAATAATTGTTGTCCTTGAGAAGGGGAACTATGACAAAGGTAAAAGGGAGACTTCGTTTTTATATTATATCCTTCTGTATTATTTGAATAATGTTTTACTGTGTGCTGGTATTACCTCTTGCAATAACTTTTTAAATGTTTACTCCGCAGTAAATATTATATTAAATTGCTTTTGATTTTTCAGATTCTCAACATTTCATTTACTGGCTGGTGAACTGAGCAAGTTGAAGATGTACCCCTGTACATGAGGAACCTTAGAAAGATGCTAAGAGCCTCACCCGTTTTTCTCTTTTAATAGCTCACAGACACAGACCAGATTAAACAGTGCATAGACGAATGCACAGCCAGGATTGAAATTGGACTGCATTACCAGATTCCTTATCCAAGGCCAGTAAGTGTGACTTCAGCTAAGTTGTGGTGGGTACTTATCCTCACCAACCCAGTTATTTCCAAGAATGTGTACCAAGAGGGCTCGTGTTTACCGAGAAGTCCAGAGCTTCTGTGGGAGGCATGTTGGAAGTAAGCTATCCTGCATGCCGCCAACCCATCACAACAAACTAAAATGTCAGTGAATGCCGGATTTCTCCTACTCGTACAACTTTCCCACATTAGAAGGGAAAGCCAGCTTATATTTATATAGCTTTCTCTTTTTGACTTTCATCTTTTTTATGGAAATATTTTTCTTTTTCTTTTAATGAAAGACAGGTTTGTTGTTAGCATTTTTAAAGAGGAGTACATGAGGGGAGAAGTGAAAATGGTCCAAAATTCTCACCCTGTGGAAGTTACCACTGTAACTGTTAGGTTGGGGCATATGAAATTGCCAGTGTTCTACTCTTAACCTACAAAAACAATAATTTTATACTGTACTGGCTCAACCTAATAGTTGGGCAATATATCCTTTGTCTTTTTTCTATATTCGTGTACATACATTTTCTTAACCTACATGGAATCCTAGGCATACTGTTTGCTGCTTGTTTATTTTACTTCATCTGTTCCGGCCATCTCTGCCTCCCATCTTTTTAAGTGGTTGTTGCTGTATCCTGTTACAAGAATGTGCCATAATTTACCCAGCAGCCATTTAGTAGGCATTTAGATGGGTCCCAGTTTCCCACTATGCCCAGGACAGCTTTGTACACAAACTGTTTTTCTCGCCTTCCTTGGATTCTCATCTCACCATGTGATGTGGTCATTTTCCCTCCATGCAGGCAATATGACAAAGAAGAGCACAAGCTGTGGAATCAGATCTGGGTTCAAATCCCGATTCTACCACTTCATGTATATATAAGCTTCAGCAAGTTATTTAACTTCTGAGCCTCCATTTCTCATCTATAGATACTATCTAATTCCTTATGAGATTATTGTAAGGATTAATGTATAAGGATCTTAAGGATTCATGAGTCAGTGCAGATTTAGAGCTTAGCAAAGAGCACAGTACCTAGTAAATCCTCAGCGGATATAAGCTGCTGTAATGATTATAATTCTTAATATTATCATTATTCTTATTCTCCTTATTCAGATTCATCTGCCTCCAATGGGCCTTACCCCACTACGAGGCCGGGGACTTCGAAGCCAGGAAAAACTGAGGAAACTTTCCAAACCAGTATATCTCAAGTCTCATGATGAGATTTCTTAACCCTGAAGAAAATTTGTTTCTCAGAAAGATGAGCCAACTAGGTCTTGAATGTAAACCAGATGACAAAACCCTTCTGTTTGATTAGGGGCAAAAATTAAAGTATCTTCTTAAAAACCTCCAAAATATTCACTCCATGATCTGTACTCACACATCCTTACAGTTCATCAGGGTCTCATTGCCTAGATGGATGACACTAACCCTAGAGGTTACATCAGAAGGAGCTTCATTCCAATGACCCTCATTGAAGGTCATTTGGAAACAAGACTAAGGCCTATAGAAGGAAGACAAGGATGACAAAGCTTTTTCGTGGAAATGCCATTCACCAGCCATGGCCGCTGATATGAAGAAACTGGCCAGCTGCTGGAAGTTCTCATAGCTACTATAAAACTGTACACCACCTTCAGAATATTTTTAGGCTTTTCCCCCAAAGTTTTCGCTTAAAAAACAACGGCTTGCTTGAACGTGGGTTTCTTTGTATATGTTTTGTTATCTTTTGACCCTCCCAATGTCCAGATAAATTCCCCTTAAAAAGTGCATCATTGGGGAGGCACCTGGGTGGCTCAGGGGTTAAAGCCTCTGCCTTCAGCTCAGGTCATGATCCCAGGGTCCTGGGATCTAGCCCTGCATCATAGGGCTCCCTGCTCAGCAGGGAGCCTGCTTCCTCCTCTCTCTGCCTACCTTTCTGCCTACTTGTGATCTCTGTCAAATAAATAAATAAAATCTTTAAAAAAAAAAAAAAGTGCATCATTGGGGACACCTGGATGGCTGAGTCAGATAAGCTTCTGCCTCCTGATTTCAGCTCAAGTCCTGATCCCAAATTCTTGGGATCAAGCCCTGTGTTGGGCTCCATGCTCAGCAGGGAATCTGCTTGAGGATTCTCTTTCCCTTCTCCCACTCCCCTTGTTCGTGCTTTCTCTAAAATAAATCTTTTTTTTTAAAAAGGTGCATCGGGGCGCCTCGGTGGCTCAGTTGGTTGAGCGACTGCCTTGGGCTCAGGTCACGATCCCGGACTTCCAGGATCGAGTCCCGCATCGGCCTCCCAGCTCCTTGGGGAGTCTGCTTCTCCCTCTGACCTTCTCCTCTCTCATGCTCTCTCTCACTCATTCTCTCAAATAAATAAAATCCTTAAAAAAAAAAAAAAAAGGTGCATCATTGGATTATTTTTTTCATGGGAAGTTTACATGAGACCCATCCCTGCCCCCAACATACACATACCCAAAAGTATTTGTGTTAGATAAATGCATATGTTTACTTTACCTTATAGCCTATGATCACTTAACGATGCACTTAGGATCTGAAAGGCTCACTTGAAACCCATACTGCATTCATAAGAATTTTATCTTAACATGATTAGAAAGTACAAGGGCCAAGCTGGCTTTCAAATTATGTCTAAACAGAAAAGTCACAAAGAGAAATCAAAATACAAAGGATTTATACCTCTGCATGTGTGGAGTCCCATGGCAAGTCACGTGTACCTCCTCATCATTTCTTCTGACCTCCAAAGAGGATGAGCATCACCAATAAACACAAATCTGTATCAGTTTTGGTGTTTCTCTATTCTTTCCCAAAATGGCTTTGTGACCCTCAAAAGCAGCAGATAACTTCCTACCTATACCTAGATGTAGGATTCCCTTGTCACACAGATCCTCTCATTCAAAGTAAACGTTATGGGGCAGCTGGTGGCTCAGTTGTTTAGTGTCTGCCTTCGGCTCAGGTCATGATCCCATGATCCCAGGGTCCTGAGATCAAGCCCTGCATCGAGCCAGGCACTGAGCCCCGCATCCGGCTCCCAGCTCAGCGGAAAGCCTGCTTCTCCCTCTCTCACTCCCCCTGCTTGTGTTCCCTCTCTGTCTGTCTCTGTCCAATATATTAAATTAAAAAAAAAAAAAAGTTATATTTCAATCCCCAAACCTGCTCCTGTGAGCAGAAGCATACACTTTTCATGCTGAGAGTAAGTACTGCAGAGTTCGTCAATGACCTGGAGAACAAACACATCACTGTAGCAACAGCATATGCATATGGAACACAATTGCAGCTACAGGGCTTCGGTGAAGAGAGACCAGAGAAATTTAAACGTGCCTGCAAATGTGTTGGCCATTGAGGGAGCACAAACCCTAGCCTCACTTGACTTGGAGATACCAATCTGCTATTTTTTTTTTTTAAGATTTTATTTATTTATTTGACGGACAGAGATCACAAGCAGGCAGAGAGGCAGGCAGAGAGAGGGGGGGAAGCAGGCCCCCTGCTGAACAGAGAGACAGTGATGCAGGGCTAGATCCCAGGACCCTGGGATCATGACCTGAGCTGAAGGCAGAGGCTTTAACCCACTGAGCCACCCAGGTGTCCCCCAATCTGCTATTCTGTTAGTCACTTTCCTTCTACCTGGTCTCACTGTGAAAGAGGCATCTCCCTGCTCAGAGGTGGTTCTAGTGTTTAAGCATTTTCTCGTGCAACACAGGGCCTGTGAAATCAAGTACTTCATCCGACAGTCAACCATTGAAACAGTGATCTGTTCTTGCATTGGAGGAAAAACTGGTTCTGCTAGACCGAAGTGAGGCATGGGTTGCCTGTCTCCTTCCTGGTCCCTTTCTAAGTAACTCAGAGTGATTTCTGACAGTGCAACTTTTGTCTTTAACGCTGCTGAATCTGCAGAAACCACCCTTCCCCAGCCTCTTTCAAAATGGAAGTTCATCTAATTGCTAGCTAGCCTCCTGAGTATCTTCTGTGCGCCAGGAACTTTACCTAAATGTTCATTTTATATGCCTAGTCTCCTTTGCAAAAATGCATATCCTAATACACAGAAACACAACTGTCAATTTACTACCAAAACTTCCATATAAGTTATGCTTATAATAGCGTTCCCTCTCCCCGCCCCCCCCCCACCGCCCTCACCCCTCCATTTTTTCTCAAACACTGTAAGATCTCCCATCTTTGGTCTTTTAAAGGCAGAACCTATCTTCCCTATGTCCCCTCTTTCAATGTAATTTTCTTCCAACACCAACAAGGACTGAAAACTATTTACCCAACAGCTAGATTTTTAAAGAGCAAGGACTAGCTTGGTGACAGTGTTCCTCTGATGTTATCTGCTGAACTATTTATAGGCAGGACCTGCAGCTTCTCACTAAGCTGATTTCTGGCCATCTCTGCCCCAGGACTCCAGCCTCTAACTCACCAGGATTTCTGAAGAACATACTGCTCTTTCCCAGGGGGGGAGACATTAATTACCACATTGGCCCCAGTAGAAAATGACCTCAAATTCAGGGCACTCTTTCTTTGCAAAGTGGAAGAAATTTTTTAAATTACAAAAATTTAATCCATCGTACAGAAACATTTTGTCCCTTGACCCCTGAGGAATGAAACAGCCAGTCCCTGCTTCCCTCAGCTTTTTTGTTGCTGAAGCCGGGGGTTAGAGAATTAAAATTCAATTGTTTTCTCAGCTACCCCCTCACTGCCTTAAAGCTTACAATATGACTTAACCATTCCAAGATTCAGGCATTTGGGATCCAGACCATCTTTCCATCTCACATGACTAACAATCTTACTTGGAAAGATAATGGCAGTTTCAGCTCTCTATTCATTCTGATTCTCCTTCCCCCACTGGGGAGGGGGGAGGGCGGGGAACTGTCTTTCTTAACAACAACAACAACAACAAAAACTATTAAGCTACCTGCAATGAGCTGTAAGAGACTGCTCCTCTTTGCTGTTTCTTTATTGCCTCCTGGCAAGATCTGGAGAACTGCCCTTTCGTACTTAATCTCTAGGATCGCTGGGATAATTTGCTGATCTCAGAATTCAGGGTTCTTAATCAGAATTTGATCGATTCCATGTTTCCATGAAAAGGTTTCTGGAAAAGGTTGGTTTGGTTCTCAGAAGCTTCCCACGTTCAGGAAAAATCAAAGACCTTGAGGACATTTCTTCTAGTGAAGAGGCAGAGAAACCAGCAGATGCATTAGGCTCTCAAGCAGCCTTATGTCCTTGCTCAACAATGAACTGACCAATGGAATGCCATGAAGGAAGTCACTTAGAGCCAAAGAGCTAAGTGAAGGAATTAGCTGAGGAGTAAATATATCAACAATGTGATTTTTGTATCCCCCAGGATTCTCTTCTAACTGGCCCTAGAGGAAAACAGTGATAAACTGGAAATTCTTTGGACATGGCTCTTGCAGCTACGCATTTAAGATTCTACATCATAACACAGACAAGTTGTTGGCAGGGAGGCAGCCTGTGGCAGTGAAAAATGCATGGGTTCTAGAGCCAGACAGCCCTTGCCTCAGATCCTCGCTCTGCAATGTGAAAGAGCTGGGTGATCTTAGGCAAGTTACATAATCTCCCTGAACCTCCAGAGAGAGAGACTGTCGTACCTACCACAGGAACAAACGCCTAAAGGCCCAGGCACAACCCATAGCACACAAGAGGCCTGCAACAAATACTGGTTCTCTCATGTCTCCTTTCTTCCTGAAATTTCCACGCATCTGTTGCAGGCTAATAGAGAAGTATTTGCGTCCCAGTTCTACACTGATGAACTGTGGAAACTTGAGCTCCTTATTTTTCGAAGCCTCCATTTCTGCATCTCTAAAATGGACATAATAATACCCTGCCACATAAGATTGTTGTGAGAAGTGATTTTCAAATATGTCAAAACCTTAAAAAACGAAAGCAGCTCAGTCCTCTTTCAACCTGAGAGACTCTGATGTTAGTGCATGGAAACAGAGTAGGAAAGAAGCAATTAAAAGTTCCGTGGTAGAGCAAAAGCAGCAAGAGAAAACCACAGAGGAGCTTAACCAAATAGCTAAAGGTCTAGGTTGAAAAAAGAGTCCCATTGTCAGTGTTCGAACCACTACTTCAGTAGCTATCTGAATTGGGAGATCTTACATCCTCTGTATCATGGTTTCTTCAGCCATAAAATGAGGATGATAATAATAACCTACTTTATAGGGGTGCTCTGAAATACTGGCTCACAGCAGGTGTCTATTAACATAACTGCTACCATCATCGTCATACCCTGTGCCTCTTAGGAAAGGAAAGTTAGGTTGTGGTCAAGAATGAAATGCCTTTTATTTTCTGCGTTGAGACAGATGCCATTAATTATCCAGCTGGCACAGAGAGGCTACCCCTCGGTTTATCCAGTGCTTCTGGGGCCTGTCTGTTGGTAGTTCAATGGACAGGACATAGTTGGTGGAGTGGCCCGTGGTGGACAGGATGCCTCTTCGGGCACTTGTTTTGTAGACTGGACACATGTAAATGTTCTGATGCAGAAACATTGCACTTTCTCCAGGTTTCAGCCAAATAATGGGCAATGGGTCATAGAGGATCTTGGGGAAAGACTCCCCAATCTGCTTTGTTTTCCTGTCCCAGCGGGCACCTTCCAAGAAGAGGCCTTTTATGTAGGCCCCATCTTCTGGGTTACTCTCCATGACCATTTCTTGTGTGGTTACCTGGAAGAGAGGAAGCTGTAAGTTCTATTACCTGCCATTTCCCTAGAGTGGGGCAGCATTAAGAGATGAGAAAATCTGCTGCAAAGTCTGCCTTTTCCAATATGCATTCCCCAGGACCCTGGGACTTCCATGATAATACTCCTGCCTTCGTACATGGACCAGGTCTGATTCGTAGTCAGAACAGTAGGCATAGGGAAT